GACAACTTTGGTCTTTATATATAGAATATGAGAAACTGGAGAAGTACCAGGAGTAACCGGAGACAATGTGGAACATGAAGGTAAAGGTGTGTGTGTGTGTGTGTGTGTGTGTGTGTGTGTATAATGTATATGTATATATATGGAAATAATTTGAAAAATAGAGAAAAATGATGGTTAGGCTCATTCTATTATTAAGTGATTGTTCTCCAAACATTTATTTATTTATTTTTCCTTTGGCAGTGCAACGACCAGCCCCAAAATCCGAGAACAGGTGTTGCTGGAACTCAGCTATGTCAATTCCAACCTCCAGATCCTCAAGGAAGAGTTAGAAGGGCTCAATATTTCTGTGGAGGTGTACCAGAACACAGAGTAAGTGAAGGGGGGGGGGGATTGATTGCAGTGATGCTCTCTTCTTTTTGCTAACTAATCTAAAAACAAACAAGCCAAAGAATGTAAAACTGAAGAAAGAATTCTTCTTTTTAAGAAAAATGACAAAAGAACAAGCTGTATTACTGAAATGGCCCTGCTGTGCTCAAGGATTAAGGGAGAGCTTTTAAATTGCTTCTTGGAAAAGTATTCAGAGTAATTAATACTGCCAACGAGGTGGTTTGGATGGCAGTGAGAAAGGCAGAGGCAATTCTTCCCCTTATTTTAATCCCCTTATTTTAATCGGCTGGAAGCAAACAGGAAAAACAGAGAGTGAACATGCTTAAGACATAGCATAGAAGTGATGCTTGAGCAGGGTCCGCAGTATTGTTTGGGACAATACGCATTCTCTTCACAAGCTGTTTTCCTTGTTACCTTCTGGGAAGAAGCTTCATGATATCCAAAGCAGAACTGTTATGCCCCTGTATGATTCGTAGCGGGAGGCCGAACAGTTGACAGGGAGTGGGAGTGTGGCTCCGTTGGCTGTGGAAGAAACTGGGGAAGGGCAAACTCCAGCTGGGCAGAGCAGGGGAGAGGTAGAGCAAGGCAGAGGGAATTCGGAGGAAGACCCAGACCCACCCCCTTTTCATCCTAGGGCACGCAGGGAGGAACAGAGAAGGGAGCAACGTGAGTTGTGTGACTTACGGGGGAGGAAAGGACCCTGATTCCCTTCAATAGCTGCAGCTGGGAACACTGTTTAAAAAGGGAAGCTGCGCACAGCAAGTTGTTGGGAGCAAATCGTGAATTATCTGGTATTGTCTAGGCTTATCTATGTTCCTGGCATCTTCCCAACTGTGTGTTTTGCTGTGCTTTCAAGTCTGCAATTCCTTCTCCTGCTCTGTCAAGTTAATTACTGCAGCGTGGTTTGTTTGGATTTTTAGTTACAGTTTGTATGTACTTTGTTTTCAGACTAAAATTCCTCCACTTAAAGACTGTTCTTGGGAGAGTTTTTTCTCCAACTGAAGGTAACCTGGACATTTGGGGCAAAATTGGAGATAATAAAGGGACTTTTCTTGCTTATTTGACTGTATTGCCTTTGTGCCACGCCGCAGGTCATCACAAGAACATCTACAGTAGATTCAGTCACAGTTTTGTGCATCAACCTTGCGAACTTTCAAGTTTCCTCTTTCCACTATGTATTCAAAATGGACAGTGATTAATATTTTTGTGTATGTATGTATGTATGTATGTATGTATGTATGTATGTATGTTATTCAGCTTTGTTCGGGTATTTTCCCACGTCATTATAGTTGTGCTTTTAAAGTTGCAGCAACGTTTTGGCAGAATCTCATCTGCCATCATCAGGCTTCTGTATAATGTTCATCTGTGAGTCAAACTTTCACAGCCATTTCTGTTTCAAATTTGGTGCTAGCCTACTGCTGTGCCAGCATGGTTTTTTCTTCATCCCGATTGGTTGGGAGTCTTGGTCTGTGTTTATTGGTCTTGGAGTTTGCTGTGTTCTGCTTGATTGGTGTTTCTAATATCTTCTGTCTGTTTTGTAGCTTTTTTTGTCTTGATTGGCTGGCAACATTGTGTTTCCTGTATTGGAGGCTTTTAGTGCGGCTTGGCTCCGAGTAAATGGACAGTGTCTCAATGGTTCACAGGAGCATTCTGGGGGGGAAAATCTTCCATCCCAAATAGATAGGCAAGCAGATGCTGGCTTAGATTCTTAGATTGCTTTAAGATAATTAAGATGGCATTTTGGCATGGGTTGTTGTCAAAGAGAGACACTAGAGTTTACAAAACAGGATTATTAACAGTGTTAGACATTTTTTACTGGATTGAGAGGCCTGCAAACATGGCCATCCATCATCATATCAGGAGCTTCACTGTAAAAGGGAGTCATAAGAACCATGTAAAAGGTGGGTGAGACAAAATTGAAGAGGTATATCCTTATGTATACCTTGGTGGTGCAGTGGTTAGACTGCTGAACTGCAGGCCACTTCTGCTGACTATCAGCTGCCTGCAATTTGGCAGTTCAGATCCCACCAGGCTCAAGGTTGACTTAGCCTTCCATCCTTCTGAGGTGGGTAAAATGAGGACCCAGATTGTTGGGGGGCAAGATGCTGACTCTGTAAACCCTTAAAGAGGGCTTAGTTATAGTTAAAGCACTATAAAGCGGCATATAAGTATAAGTGCTATTGCTATTGTATGTAAGCAATATCAATGCACAGAACTTAAATTTTAACATACCCACAAAGACAGATGACGCCCCCTCCCCGCCCTTATTCCACCATGTCGTAGTAGATGCCCAGGTTTCAAGTTAACAAAAACAGATGTGAATCAAGGTATTAGTGTGATTTAATTGGTGAAGGTGTTTAACTGGTCCTGGGGAAGCTCAGGTTGAACCTCAGCTAAGGAAGCTTCGTGGGTGACCTGGGGCTGGTCACTCTGCCCAACTGACCTCACAGGATGTTGTTATAGGGAAGAAAATTGCCCAGTCATGAAGCAATTGCTAGAATAGAACACACACACACACACACACACACATATATTCTCAAGTTTTCGCGGGTACTTACATGTATGGCATTCAGCTTTGTTCGGGTATTTTCCCACGTCATTGTAGTTGTGCTTTTAAAGTTGTAGCAACGTTTCGTATATATATATACACACAGTGTTATGCATATGCTTGGGTTTTGCTGTCACTAGGATTTTAACCCATCTATTGATCATAAATGATGCATTAATCCATCCAGAGATTGAAGTGTTCAATATTTTGCCAATTTTCACCGATAAACAAGACTATTTATAGCTCAGAGTTGAAATGAGGGGTCCTTGGTGTTCTCTGAGTTTGGTTGTTTCTGGCTTGGTTGAATATTTAGAAGGACTTCTACTATTTTTTCCCTGTGAGTTTGGCATTTCAAGAGAGTCAGAAGGAGGAACCGAATGCCACTCTACATTCATCACGAGTTTTGGCAAGAGCACTGGTGGACTTAGAAAGCTATGTGCAAAAGCCTTGGCAGCTTTATAAAAATGATCATGAGAAGGACATCGAAAATCCAAAGGAAAGCTTTGTTTCTGTTTCTCGGTTCCCTCCAAATGCAGGCTGCCTCAAAATAATAGCAGTAGATTGCTCCTGTTGGGATGGCTGTTGGGTTTGTTCTTGACAATGGCAAAGGAGGACCAGGAGAAAATAGTGGAAGGGCAACATTAGGTTGGAATATTCCTGTGCAAATGATGGCGATGGTTTTATGCTTAGAATTTCTGCTTATTTTTGCTAGAACAGTTGGATCTCTTAGTATGTGACAGGGATGTCCGTCTTTGGCAACATTTAAGACCTGTGGACTTCAACTCCCACAATTTACTATGCTGGCTAGGGAATTCTGGAAGTTGAAGTCCACCAACCCTAAAGTTGCCAAGATTGAACACCCGTGGTATATGGAACATGTTACTATAAGGCAAGATAAGTGATCTGTGCTTACAAAAGAACAGTTAAGGATGGTTGACTTTGAATAGATTCCGGGAATACTCCTCCTAGTAGCCTGACTACTCTTTGCTGTTTGAGGCTACACTATGTCTTTGGAGAACCAGAAATCTCCAGGGCTCAGTTTCTCCTGCTGTTCATGCTAATTGACCATAATACTCCTCATCCTTGTTGCGATTGAACACCTTCCTAAGTCCACCTCACTGTGATTAGTTATTTCCCTTTCCTGTGAGTATTTCCACTGGCAAATTTAAGGCTTCTGACTTAAGTGCCTACAATTTGGTGGTTTTCTGAGGAGTTGGAGGAGATTATACCTGTAAACTAAATAACTAGATTGCAGGATACAAGGACCAGGACTTCTAAGATGGTTAGGCAGATAAACAAAACTATAAACTCTGGGAGGATCTATAGGAATCCTTTTATCTTAGATATGCTGGCTCCAGATTATAGTTTAATTAGCTCCAGCTAATTAAACACGGGGCAGTGGGAAGTGAGCCCAGGTTACACCTAGCCCCCAAATTCTTGCTATGGCTCCAAGAACTTCTGCAAAACTTGCCTTCAAGACTTGTGGATATTGATGACAACAGCAAAACAGGAACTGGGCATGGCTAGTTTAGTAAAGAGAAGAACAAGGGGAGACATGAGAGCAGTCTTCCAATATTTGAGGGGCTGCCACAGAGAGGAGGGGGGTCAGGCTATTTTCCAAGGCCAGACAAGGAACAATAGATGGAAACCGAACAAGGAGAGATTTAACCTGGAAACAAGGAGAAACTTTCTGACAGTAAGAACAATCAACCCATGGAACAGCTTTGCCCTCGGAAGTTGTGGGAGCGCCATCACTTGAGACTTTCAAGAAGAGATTGGACTCCCATCTGTCAGAAATGATGTAGGGTCTCCTACTTGGGCAGAGGGTTAATCTAGATGACCTACAAGGTCCCTACAAAGTCCCTTCCAACTCTGATTATCTGTTTAAATCTGTTTAAAACGTGACTAAATCATAAGGGAGGACAGCATGAAGCGCATGCCATTATTAGAATTTATTTCTCATTAAACTGAGTATAAACTAGATCAAAGCAAACTGAGTTTTAAGCCTGCCTTTGCTTGATTATGCACCGGGAGCTATATATGTTTCAGAATATGGGCTCCACTGTGCCATTTAGAGGTCAAGAGTGGCCTTTGGCCTGGAAAAGTTGTTCTTTTTTTAAGCCACAGGGAACAGGCGTGTCCCATTCCGTGTGCTGAGTCGGATGAGGAAGTCCAAATGAAACCAGTGATTTACATATAACAATTTCTCAGCCACCAACTCTTATAAATCAAAGATATTGATGTGAATTTCTTCTTTTAATGCAGGGAAACCTTTAGCATTCCTCTGATACCGCTTGGCCTGAAAGAGACTAAAGATGTTGACTTCGCAGCACCCCTTAAGGTATATTTTTTTCCCAAGCAGCAGCCCTAAAGGAATTAAGGCTTTTTGCTCATAAATAACAATAAAAAACCATGTTAAAAGAAATATTTGCTCAAAAAAAAAAAAGTAAATTGCCAACGTTCTCCTGATAATAGCTCTCCCCTTAAGCTTTTTCCTAGGAATAAAATAACTAACAAATTACAATAGAAACTGGATCTAATTTAATTTGGACAGAGAGGCAGAGCCTCATAGGAATTCCTTTCCTAAAATTGCTTCTTTGTATTTCAAAACTCCCCTTTTTGTTGTTAGATTTATCCAGAAGCTGCTGACCAGTAGCTATACAAATATTTATATACTGCGCATTAAATTAGTTCTTTCTCCATGCCTTTATCTGAGTTCCTTCTCCTCTAACTGCTGGATATGTCTGACTTATGGACTTTATTCTTTTGATTCTACCCCCAAGCCTCACTCTCCTGCTTTTAAAAATCAGAGATCACACCAAAACTTTGTGCTTTGAGATAGACAGTGAAAGAGATCTAAAGTCCAGCAGCCCATTTTTTTTTTTTTTTAGAAGGGCCAGGAAGTCTCAAAATTAGCTGTGCAAGCTAGTTTGCTAAAGCCCTTTGAGCCTCATTCTCCTAATGATAGGACAGGCCTGCTAGTCATCTGCCTAGCAAGCAAACAAGTCCAGCAGACTTTGGAATTTGGGATGATCCCCTTTTTCCCTGGCCAATTGTGGAGGTAAACAACGTTTGTCAATTTTCATCAATGATGACCATGTTGGTTGGGAAATTCTGAGAGTTGAGGTTCACAACAGCTGGAAGGTGTGGCCAAGCTTAAGAAACACCCGTGCCAAGGAATTTCAGTATAATAGCAATAACACCTTAGACTTGTATATTGTCCGTTAGTGATTTACAGCACACTCTGGGTAGTTTACAATGTAAGCATTATTTGCAACCATCTTGAGTCAGGCCTGAGCCCTGACAGGATTGAACTGCAGGCTATGGGCAGAGTTTGCTTGCAATATAGGCTATAAATCAGAATTTCTATAAGAATATTCTGCTTAGGCGGAGGGTTGGACTAGATGACCTACAAGGTCCCTTCCAACTCTGAATATCTGTATCCAACCTAAGCAATAGCTTCGTTAATCAGATCAAAAGAGCATCTAGTCACACGAGCAGGTTAGTGTAAACGGTCCAGTTTATTCTCTGTATTGATGAGATAGTGTTCTGTCTCATCTTGGCTTTTAAAATTCATTTTTAAACTAAGTGGGGTGGAAGAAAATACGCATTTCATTCACAGCTTCCATTGTAGAGTTTAGGAACCTAGCTTCCCATAAACTTTGTCATGTAAATTTCCTGGGAAACTTTTTATGACATATAGCAACTTTTAATACAAATCACTTTGATACCATTGGATATGGAAACTTTCTCAATATTAGGTTATAGATATATTTTTCCAATCTAAGCTCTCCATTTTTCTATCTTCTCTCTTACATTCAGCAACAAGGTTTAGTCTCTGACATAGTTGTAAAAAAGAAAAAAAAGCAGCAGTGATTGTCCAGATGTATAAATCAAGTTTGAGGGTATATAGTGCAATGAACTTTAATGGAATAGAATCTTTTGAAGAAACTCAGTTTACATTTAATTCCATCTTGTCAACTCCAGGTATCATTCTGGGTAAATCTTTTAGGTAGATTTCTTCAGTTCCTCTTGGCAGAATGTTGGATATTTTAATTTATGTCTGTGCCTAAATGAAATAAATACACAATTTGGAGACTTTTTTTAAAATAAAATTTTAATGGATTATTTTAATTATATTCAGGACTTTATTCTGGAACATTACAATGAAGATGGTGCAGAATATGAAAATGAAATTGCAGATCTTATGGATTTAAGACAGGTAAGTTTTAAGAAGGTTCTGTTTGATTTTCAGTCTTGGGGGAAAAGGGAAAGAGCCTGTCCTTGTTTTATTCTCATTTAATTAAACATAATAAAAGGGAAATAACAGTACCAATCTCTAGTGCATTTAGTTTTCAGGCCACCACTCCTTCTCCTCCTTTTCCTTTAATTAATTTTGTTATAATGATTTTATTTGTTGTGAACCTCCCACAGTCATTGGGAGCCAGGTGGCATACAAATTTAATACACAAATAAATGGTTATTACTTCTCTCTTTTCCCTTTCAGGCTCTTTTGACCTTGATAGCTGAAAACAAACTTTTCAGCATCCAAAATGTGTTTTGAATGGGAAACAGGAGTGTTATACTCAAAACAACTGTTTTGAACTTGCCAAAATCATAATCTGAACAAGAAAAGATCATAATTTGAACAAGAGAAAAATATCTAGGATTGTATCAATAATTTAATAGAGATGATATTTGAATACACACTGTGTACTGAATACATACTGTGATGAACCCCGGGCATGGCATAAAGGCAACTCAGCCAGATAATAAGTAGAGGTCCCTTTAGTAGCCGCAACTTTGCTCCCAATGACCTGGTTACCTTCCGGTCTGGAGAAAAACTCTCCCAGGAACCTGCAACTGCCCTTGGCTGCAGCTATTCCAATCCAAAACTGTAAAGAGAAAACTCTAAACTATAAATCCAACAAAGCAAGATAAGGTAATAAATCCGGCAGGGCAAAATAAGAAGTTCCAGAAGTGAAGTAACACGGCAGTAAATCCAACCAGTTGGGAGGATGCCAGGAACTCACATAACAGTAGCCAACATTAGATAAACTCAACATTTGTTCCCAACAAATGCCTCTCCCAACTGCCTCGCCTTTAAACACCCTCCCCAGCTGTTCCTTGTGAAGGGAATCAGGGCCCTTTCCTCCCCTGTAAGCCATGCAACTCATGTTGTTCTCTTCTCTGTTCTTCCCTGCGTTCCCTAGGATGAAGAGGGGGTGGGCTTTGGTCTTCATCTGAATCCCCTCTCTCTTGTTCTATCTCTGCCCAGCCTGACTTTGCCCTTCCCCAGTTTCCTCCACAGCCAACGGAGCCACTCTCTTGGCTGTTCATCTTCCGCCTCGGATTCAGACTCTGACGGGGGCATGACATACACAGATGGACCTTCACTTACAACAGTTCATTTAGTGACCATTCAGTTTTTCATGCTTACAACTGCTGCAGTATCCCCATGGTCACGTGATCAAAATTCAGGTGCTTGGCACACCTGACTCATATTTATGATGACTGCAGTGTTCTGAGGTCATGGAATCACACTTTGCAACCTTCTGATAGGAAAGTCAATGAGGAAGCCAGATTCCTGTAACATATTACTAACTTAATAACTGCAGTGATTCACTTAAGAACTGTGGCAAGGAAGGTGGTGAAATGGGTCAAAACTCACTTAACCACTGCCTCGCTTAGCAACGGGAATATTGGGCTCAATTGTGGTTGTAAGTCAAGAACTACCTGTATATGTATGTGTGTCTGTATGTGTATAATATAAAATAATTTTATATAATTTATATAATAAACATACTATAATTAAGCTACAGCTGGCCTTAGAAGACCATTAAATAGATGTCATACTGATATGTGATTAGAGTACAGTATTGCAGGTGAATTCTGCTTACTGCCAGGAGTTTGATTCAACCAAGCTCAAGGTTGACTCAATCTTCCATCCTTCCATGGTGGGTAAAATGAGGACCCAGATTGTTGGGGGGCCATAGACCGGCTCCGTAAACTGCTTAGAGAAGGCTGTAAAACCCTGTGAAGTGGTATATAAGTGTAAGTGCTATTGCCAAAAAACCCCTTATATAGCCTTGTTTATATTTCCTGAATCCCAATCAGTTAAGAGCATTCCTAGGGGCCACACATCGACTTTATAGCTAATACCTATCCTTATATTTTCAAAGGCCTGCCGGACACCTAGCAGAGATGAATCTGGAGTTGAGATGCTGATGAGCTATTACGTACAGCTTGGCTTTGTAGAGAATCGGTTCTTCTCACCCAGTAGAAATCTGGGCATTTTGTATACTTGGTAAGACCTTTCTGGAAATTGAACGTTGTCTAGTTTCATGAAAAAGAAGGACTAGGGGGTGATACAACAGCAGTGTTCCAATATCTAAGGGGCTGCCACAAAGAAGGGTGTGGGGGGTTGTTAATCTATTCTCCAAAGCACCAGAAGGCAAGAAATAATGGATGGAAGCTTATCATGGAGAGAAGCAACCTGGAATTAAGGAGAAATTTCTTGACAGTGAGAATAATAAACCAGTGGAACAGCTTGCCACAAGACGTTGTGGGTGCTACAACACGGGAGGTTTTTAAGAAGAGACTGGACAGTCACTTGTCTGAAATGGTATATGGTTTCCTGCTTGAGGTTGGACTAGAAGACCTCCAGGGTCCCTTTCAACTCTATTCTGATTGATTGATTGATTGATTGATTGATTGATTGATTGATTAAAAAACGAAGTCCAGTTGCCTTTTGAAAAAGCACCTGTGTGAACCTGGTCTGGTGCACACATCGTGCTAAATCACAAAGTGATTTGTTTATCTGTGAATTAATGGATTGCATCGACCATTTTATTCAGCCCACCCTAGTTAAACCAAGGATGGCTTAGTCCAGTGGTGGTATTCTACCGGTTCGGCCCGGTTCAAATGAACCGGTAGTAAAAAAATGCTGCCGTTCGGCTGAACTGGTAGTAAAAAAATATTTTTTTCCCCCTCCTGATGATCAGCTGTGACAGGATCCCCTTTACTGCTTTACCCAGGTGGTTTCCCTGAGGCCCAGGAGGCAAAAAAAACCACCCCGGAGCGGGGGGGGGGGGCGGTGCTGCAAAAAAGAAGCCACACCCACCCAGTCACATGGCCATGCCCACCTAGCTACGCCCACAGAACCAGCAGTAAAAATATTTGCATCCCACCTCTGGCTTAGTCCATTATGGAAACCGGTCTGTAACTGAGATGAATCGGAGAGCAGCTTCTGAACCAATTGGCATGCAAACCTACGTTTGGATCTAAATTGAGATGAATAAGAAAGAATGTTTGTGAAAGCGAATCAATTCATTTCTCTCCGTTTTTGTTTCTTTGCTGGGTCGTTAACCTTGATGTTCTCTTTGCTTTTTTTTTTTTTTAAACTGAAGGTATGACTCTTTCACGGGCGTCCCCGTTTGCCAGAAGAATTTGTTGCTGGAAAAAGCCAGCATTTTATTTAACATCGGAGCCCTCTACACGCAGATCGGTACAAAATGCGATCGGCAAACGGGCTCCGGGCTCCAAAAGGCCATCAGTGCTTTTCAGAAGGCGGCAGGTAGGAACGAGAAGGAGGGGGTGGGGTCCCTCCCACAAAGCCTCTCCCTTTAGGAAATGCCTGGAGATTGCATGGCTTTAATCCTCTTGTTTGCAATTGTGATTTCCTCTGGTTTGTCTCTGTTCTGGGTCCTGGAATTGTCTTGAGCTTAATTTTCACACTCTTTGGACATCCGATGCAGGCAGAATTAACACCCAAAGAACTGTAAGCAAGAATAGCAAGGAATGTTTGTTTTGTTTAGTGAAAACATCCTTCCCAAAACTTATTAACTCCTTCTGCCTCCACCCTGTCAGATTTATTTATTTTTATTTATCATTATTATTTTGTCCAGCATGTATTAGATAACAGGTATGAGTATAAACATGATTATTAATACATAAAATGGATATGAATAAAATTTGAGAATTTTGTTGTTGTTGGGAATTAGTGACTTACAGTTCGAAATCCTGGACAATTTTTGGTCTGTCATTTAACTGCTTTCCATTCTTTGCAATCAAACCTTTCACCTCTCCCCACTGTTATTTGCAGGCATCTGCAAATCTTTTTTCTGCTCTGGAACATTACTGTGCAATCTTACCCAGTGGCCTCAATGCCTTTATGGATTTTCAGCAATATGTGTGTGTTTCAGAGGGGGTATTCAGCCGGTTCTGACCAGTTCTGGAGAACCGGTAGCGGAAATTTTGAGTAGTTGGGAGGACCGGCAAATGCCACCTCGACTGGCCCCGCCCCCATCTATTCTCTGCCTCCTATTGAGTCCCAGTTGATCGGCTGGGTCTTCTTTGGTTGCCCTGCACAGGAGAATGGAGCTGGAAAGCAGGTTAGTGGGGTGGGAATGGAGATTTTGCAGTAACCTTCTCCTGCCATGCCCACCAAGCCATGCCACACCCACCAAGCCATGGCCACAGAACCGGTCATTAAAATTTTTGAATCCCACCACTGGGCAAAACTCAATAATTTTTGGGCTCAGTTATGGTGGTATGTTGAGAACTCTCTGCATCATGCTGGGGATCTAGGCTGTAATATACTGTAGCTCCAATGGCTTTATATCAATCAGTATAATTTACTGCTGTTTCAGTCTATGGTACCAATGTTTTATTGAAATCCTATTGAGGCCCATAATTACTACATGTAGCCCTCGACTTACAACAGTTCATTTGGTGGCCGTTTAAAGTTACCACAGCACTGAAAAACGTGAGACTTGTGACCACTTTTCACACTTACGACCTTTGCAGCATTCCAGTGGTCCCATGATCAAAATCCAGATGCTTGGCTCATATTTATGACCTTTGCTGTGTCCAAAAGCCACGCAATCCCATTTTGTGACCTTCTGACAAAGTCAATGGGGGAAGCCCAATTCACTTAAACAACCATGTTACTAACTTAACAAATGCAACGATTCGCTTAACAATCGTGGCAAGAAAAGTCGTAAAATGGGGCAAACTCACTTCGCTAATGTTTCACTTAGCAACATAAATTTTGGGCTCAATTGTGGTCATAACTTGAGGACTACCTGTATATGAGCTTGGTTGTTTTCCCTTAACAACCGGGTTATTAACTTATCAACTGCAGTGATTCTTTTAACAACTGCAGCAAGAAAGGTCATATAACGGAGCAAAGCCTGTTTGTCTTCATAGTAAAATCTTAGGAGCAACCACCTTCAACTGAGGAGGCAAATTCCTACATAGGTATATATGTGTAAAATGGTTTTGAATACGGAATACATCCGTATCACCACCCGATAATAATCTTTAATGAAAACGACTAGTAATTTTTTGAAGGAAAAACAAGAGTTTGGAGAAAACATTTCAGGAGTTTTTGAACAATGGGATACGGTTGAGAATTCAGTTCTCATAAAGGCAATACAATATCATTCAAACCCTGCCCACGGACCTTTGTGGACAGAATGAAAGATTGTTGCTAAGATTTTCACCTATAAACACAACCCTGAGCATACATAACATACGGGAAGGCCTTGCCAAAGAGCAGATGGCGCAAGAACAAATATTCTTTTATAGACTCTCTGACTAACAAAAGAAACATTTCTCAAATCCTTAAGAAATAGTGGAATTGGTTAAATGTTATCTCAGGTTCCTGACTTTTTTTTCCTCTGGGATTTTTAAAAACATTTTGTTGGAGTTGTGATATAAAAAAACAGCGCATAACATCTGGCGATCTTTCTAATAAGGCTACCCATATTTGCAAACATCCCCAATCGCTGATCGGATTCTAATTGTTTTACTCCTATTTTGTCCAAGTGTAACTTGGACGTTAGGTGAACCTTACCCGTTGTAATTTGCAAACCAGGGTTTGCAGATTACAATGGTAACTGGAGAATGAAAAGAGTGAAGAAAAGAGTGACAAAGCTGATTAGGGGACTGGAAGCTAAAACATATGAAGAATGGCTGCTGGAATTGGGCATGTCTAGTTTAATGAAAAGAAGGACCAGGGGAGACATGATAGCAGTGTTGCAATATCTCAGGGGCTGCCACAGAGAGGAAGGGGTCAAGTTATTTCCCAAAGCACCTGAAGGCAGGACAAGAAGCAATGGATGGAAACTAATCAAGGAAAGAACCAACCTACAACTAAGGAGAATTTTCCTAACAATGAGGACAATTAACCAGTAGAATGAATGGTTTACCTCCCAAAGTTGTAGGTGCTCCCACCACTGGAGGTTTATAAGAAGACAGTCATTTGTATGGATGGTATAGAGGCGGGATGGCAAACCTATGACACGTGCAGGAAGTGGCATGCAGCGCCATCTCCGGGCACGCCAACTGTCGCCCGTTGCTCTTCTGGGTTCTGGTGCATGCATGCACACCGGCCAGTTGGTCTTCGCACACACACGTGTGTTAGAAACCAGAAGGCCAGGTGGCACGCCGGGAAACCGAGCTTCCTGTTTCCGGCGCTCCCGTTTGGTGCACCAGGGAGCTGCTCCTCCATTTTCCAGTGTGCGTGTGCTCCTGTTTTGGCAATCAGTGCCAAAAAGGTTTGCCACCACTGGTATAGAGTCTTTGTCAGATCCGTGAATCTGTCATTTCTTCAGTGGAAGAAGAAAAGGGCGTGGGGAGGCTGATAAATCCTTTCTTGATGTAACCTGAATATATTTAACCTTATATCAAATTTGTATAACCCACACATGATACAATGGAGGGAGAAAAGCCAGACGGCCAGAACCTATCACCTCCGAGAGGCACAGCCAGAAGATGAGAAGATCATAAAAATTCCAGTGAGATGTATCTAGGGAATCTCTGGAAAAAGTTCATTCTAAAAAGGGGGTGGGGGGAAATTAGGTATGTCCTGGGAAACTGTGAGAAAGATCCTTCCTACAGAAGGGGTGGGAGGGGAATTAACATACTGGCTTTTGTGTCTCTAAATACACATCGAGATAAGGGGAGGGGTTCTAAACTCCCTTATGTATCCCTGTATGCCTGAGGGACCTGAGACGCTGCTTTGACCTCCTACATGAATTGTCTCTTCTCAATAAAGGATTCCTTTTGATACGTTTGGTTCTCAGAAGTTCATTCTTGCTAATTGAATGGGAAAAAGTTCTGTTAGCCTGACAGTCTTCTTCTTGGGGCAGGGGACTAGAAGATCACCAAGGTCCCTTCCAGCTCTGTATTCCATTTATTACTTATCTTTGTAGGTCAATCCAACTACCTCCTCTTTAATATCCCCAACAGAAATTCTTTCACAACAAACAAGGCTCCATTTTGTCTGGAACAGGAAACAATGCAGTCTCACGAAGGTTTCAACCTCTCCCTTTTTCCCAACAACCTGCTGTTTGTTTGCATGCATGAGTATTTGACAGAAAGGTCTGGAGTGTGGCATGGTAGGTTTCCTTAAAAGATCTGACATTGCCTGGAGTTTGCATTTCGCAGTAATTTCAAAGAGGTAGCGAAATGTGTGTGTGTGTGGGGGGGTGTTGAGAAAGAGAGGGACTTTGCAAACAGGCTTTAGGGCAACCGTCCATTTTTGTGCAATTAAAACTTGCCGATAAAAGTTGACAAACCAGTTGGGAACAATGCATTTTTTTGATGATCAGATCTCAGCCCCACCGAATGCTACTAAGGATTTGAAGCTCTTCAGCAAATGTTTGTTTTTCAGCTTTCCAAAGAATCGGTTTGTGTGTGGCATTTACTTGAACGAGGTCCAACTTGGTTCGGTCTGGCAAAGTTTTCCTGCTGACAGATTTGTCGTCTTGTCACAGCCCTGAATGAGTTTTTAGTTCCCCTGTAGGGGAACGGTGAGTGTAGGTTGACAAGAGTTGCTCAGAGCTTTCTCACTTTCCCAAATGCCCTTTTGTTTTTGTTTCTTCCTCTCAATTGTCCTGACGATGGAATTGATGGATTAAAAATACATATATTTCATGCTTCCCAATCCTGGAAGTGAAACTAGGTGGAGGGAGAGGATCAGGAGGGAAATCGTTCTGCCAGCTTCATAATAGAAAATATAGATTTTTTTAAAAAAAGAGAGATGTGGTCCCCATCTTTCATAATTTGAAGTGGAACCTTTGCAATCACTTTCAAAGAATTTGAAAATAATTGAGATCTTCACACACACATTATCTGCCCTGTTTGGGCTCTAAACTTCCTCTTATTAAAATGCATTGGATCATATAACATGAATAATAAACACGGCATTCTAGTGAGATAAGGAGGAAAATATCTTAGAATTTATTTACCAACATCATTTGCCCTTTTTTTGTTCTTGTTCCTTTGATGCTTGCTTAGAATAGAGTGTTCCTTATTGGGAAGAGCACGTCACCTGAATTATATAGTTATGTGCACCTTATTCTTTTTGCACATGTTCAACTTGGCTACATAAAAAAAAGTTTTTACCTTCTCCAACCTGTCATTAAGAGCCCTTGATGCTTGAGCCAGAAATCCAAGGATAAATAATTTTATTCTGAAGGGTTTTCCCTGCCAGCTGAAGTCCTTTCAAATGTAGCTTTATACTTTGTTAGCTGTGGCCATGGGCTGTGTTTAAAAGAAATAACTCAATTTATAAGAGGCACGGAGGTTAGAAAGTAGTATTGCAGGCTAATTCTGCCAACTGCCAGCAGTTCGATCCTGACTGGCTCAAGATTGAGTCAGCCTTCCATCCTTCCAAAGTCGGTAAAACGAGGACCCAGATTGTTGGGGGCAATATTCTGACTCTGTAAACCACTTAAAGAGGGCTGTAAAGCAGTGTGAGGCAGTATGTAAGTCTAATTGCTATTGTTATATAATCAAATATCAATGAATCACCTTGTACACATTTAGGATTGATTTCTTTTAAAGTCCTCTAATTCCTAACTTTGAATGCCATGTTGTGGTTAGACAGCCAAGGATTACACCCCTAGGGGAATGTGTGAAAGACTGTGAAGAGGCTGGGAAAGCAATAGAAGGAATGTTGAACATAAAGCAACCGAGAGATCAAGAGTAGAGTTTGTGAGTAGCTTATCTCATAAATGACAGTACCATTGAGGCTGGAAGGGGTTTAAGGAGTTGAGAAGATCCTCCTTAATCAAGTCATTAGTAAGTCTGGAAATTGGCTCTTTCCAAGATTCTATATCTTGCCCCTAATGGAGAGACGGGCAGCAAACAAATTAAATAAATAATTACATAAAAACCATTGAAAGTGCCTTATAGAACTGTAGGTGATTCTTGTTCCCATGTTTGTGTGTTGTTGGGAGTAGGTTAGAAAACTGCACATCTTATGGCATCTTCCAGAGCAGTGTTTTTCAAGTGTGACAACTCTAAGATAGGTGGACTTCAACTCCCAGAATTCCTCCAGCATGGTGACTGGGGAATCCCAGGAGATGAAATCCACACACCTTAGTGTTGGTAAGTTTGGGAAATACTCTACTAGAGTCCTCCAAACAATTTTTATATTAAAGTAATAGTACTGAAGACAAACTTTGACTTACCTCAATAACGTTTGATGACCCAAACATGTACATCTAAACTGAGAAATGAATGGATAAATGCAATTGTGGAACTGGTGCTCTAAGAATCCTCTTTCCTTCTTCTCCCCCAATTTCAGGAGTTCTAAACTATCTAAAAGAAACTTTCACTCACACTCCAAGTTACGACATGAGCCCTGCCATGTTGAGTGTGCTGATCAAGATGATGCTCGCTCAAGTTCAGGAGTGCATCTTTGAACAGATCTGCCTTCCTGGCATACGGAATGAATTTTTCACGCTTATAAAAATGGCCCAGGAAGTTGCGAAGGTAAGCCGCACGAGAGCAGAACGGTATGCATACCTTTATCATTTGCTGACATTGGGACAATACGATAGTTGCCTGTGAAATAGCTCTTCCAAGGATCAAAAGAGATGGTGCTTTTCCTATTATGGGATGCTAGGGAGGCAGAAGAGGGTCTTGTAATGTTCTAATGGACCTCTCCTCCTCCATGGATGATCAAAAGATCAAAGCTTGTTTCAACAGTGAAGAATGACAGTGAGGACAATCAACTAGTGGAGCAGCTTTGCTCCACTTTGGATGGAAGCTTATCATGGAGAGAAGCAACCTGGAATTAAGGAGAAATTTCTTGACAGTGAGAATAATAAACCAGTGGAACAGCTTGCCACAAGAAGTTGTGGGTGCTACAACACTGGAGGTTTTTAAGAAGAGACTGGACAGTCACTTGTCTGAGGTGGTATAGGTTCTCTTGCTTGAGCAGGGGGCTGGACTAGAAGACCTTCAAGGTCCCTTCCAATTCTATTCTGATTGATTGATTGACTAGAAAGCTGCTTTTCTTTCTGGAAGTTATTCTCAGCCTTTTAGATTCGATGATGAACATCAGTTTAGTTTAGTTTAGTTTAGTTTATTGTCATTGCACCTCATACAATGAAATCAAACACCATTTTCAATGCACATCATGACCATGAAAATAAACACAAACACACATCCTTCATATTCCACATGAACCGAAACCCCCCCAACACTGCGCTATACAGTAGAATTCAACAGAGCTACTGCCCTGGGATAAAAGCTGTTTTTTAGCCTATTTGTCTTGTTTTTATTCTCCTGTACTGTCTGCCAGATGGTAATAGTTCAAAAGAAAAGGGTGCCCAGGATGAGATGGATCTTTGAGAATGTTTTGAACTTTCTTAAGGCAGTGGGAGCTGAGGGGAGAGGGCAACCAATGATCTTCTGGGCAATGACGTTAACCCTCTGGAGTGCAATGACGTTAACCCTCTGTGAGGAAAGCAAGATCTTCTGTCGTTATTGCTGAAGTTCTTTCTCTCTCTTTTAATCCTTTGTGAGAACAATGTGCATCTTTAAGTATAGACTCCAATAAGTGTTGATCAGCGCCAATATGGAATGCCTTGAATGAGCTTTTAATATAAAAAGTCAGTAGCTCACACGTGGGTCTTGTGCTTTGTTTTAAAGGTCGGAGAGATGTACATGCTTGTGGACACCGCGATGAATCAAGCACCAGTCAAGGAGAACATCCCTTACTCTTGGTCAAAACTGGCCCAAGTCAAATCGGATCATTTTAGAGCTTTGGCGCATTATTTTGTTGCCACGATGCTATGCGACCACCAATGTAAGAAGATTGTCAGATTCATACACTCATTGGCCTCCCTATCAATGGACCAAGAAATGAGGTGTCCGTGGTGCCCTCTGAGTTTGGTTGTTTTCTTGCAGACCTTTCGTTACCCAAACTAGGTAACATCATCAATGCGTGGTAATGCTTGAGCAGTGAAATGTCAGCAAGAAAACAGTTAAGCTCAGAGACTCTTCATTTCAACCCTGAGTTATAAATATTCTCCTTTATTGGAGAAATGGAACCAAGCCCACCCAGGGGCTGCACAAACAGGCCCCACGACTGTTGTGAATCATGGAGCCCTTCTCCCTGAAGTTCACACTGTCAAAATTCAAGGGTTAAAAGGTAAAAAAGCAGTGCCAGTTCCCTCCCGTAATAGGAAATACATCGGAATTCGGCACAAGTAGCCTTCCCTGATGCTCTATTTTTCTTGGGGCATTATGGTCCAACCAACTTTGGAAAATGGACTTTTAACCTGCTGATTGAAATATCACTTCTGGGCAAATGATTCTTCAACAACTTTAGGAACAGACTGAAATACGAGGAGCCCTAATCCCAGAAGAAAAGCAGGTTCTGGAACGGGTGGTTACTATTGAGTGTTGCTCTTTGTTCCTCAGGCCTGGAGGCATCTCACCTGGATGGTAAATGAAAGTAAACCAATGTTTATCTTCTCTTTCCTTTGCATTTGTTCTGGTAACCCCAGTACATCAGGCCGATGATGAAGATCAACAGGAAAAGGCTTTTTGCCAGCTGTACGACCACATGCCTGAGGGGATGACACCCTTAGCTGTCTTAAGAGATAGAAGCCAGCGTAAACAACTAGGTAAGGGCCAGGGATGGGCTTCAAAAAATGTTAGCAACAGGTCAACGGGTCCTCTGCCCAGTTGCTGAGTAGGCGTGGCCATGGTGGGTGTGGCCTAGTTGGCCTCCTGCACCATGGCGGTGTGTGTGTGTGTTTTTTCCCTCCCTGGGCTCTGGATGCTTTCTTCGAGCCTCCTGGAGGGCCAAAATGGCGTCCCCGGGCTCCAGAGGCTCTCTGGAAGCCAGAAATGGGCCCGTTTCAGGCCTTCCCGAACTTCCGGGAGGCCTGTTTATTTCCCTCCCCGAGCCTCCACGTGCGCCCTGCACTTATCTGTATCCAAAACGGGCTGTGTGGGGACACCAGGGAGGGGAGGGGCGGACGGGTCCAACCTGGAGTGGGATTTGGGGATACTCCGAAGTGCACAGAATCTTAGCTAGGGGGCTCTCCCGAATACCTGCGAACCTCCAGCAGCCCAGCCCTGATAAGGGGTGAACTCTTTTTAAGGCTTATCATCCAACTAGCCGTGGTTGATAAAATCAAGTATTTCTTTGCTTCGGGATATGTCGTTTTATCTTCCCCAAACTGGTGGGATCTATGCTTTTGGGAAGAAAGGCTTGTCTGGACTAAGTGTTTCTCAGTGTCATCAAATTTAAGAGGTTAAGGACTTCAAACTCCCAGAATTCCCCAGCCAGCATGGGCTCCAATTCTGCGGAGTTGAAGCCCACCCAACTTAAAAGTTGTTGAGGTTAAAACAACACTGCCATAGTAGACAATCATAAGTAATGTGGGTAGCCTTGATTTGATTAGGATAACTGTGTTCCCGCACAGAACAGCAAGTCACACTAAGTAATGTGGTTTGTATGATTCTTGATAGGCAGAGCTGTTGTGCCTTAAAAATGCTGGATTTTTAATGATGCAGAAATCCATCCTATTTATTTAGTCATTCATTCATTCATTTTTTTTCCTTCTCCAGGAAGACTTCATTTGCATAAAGCTCTCCTGTATCACAAAGAAGCCTTAAGGGTTTGTAGCTTATGCACAAAGCTCCGGAATATAGAGATCCTTCAAGAGATTTTGTCCGTCGCACACAAGCGGTCCCTTCTCAAATATACCCATCAGGAGCAAATAGACGACTTCTTTAGTTTGGTGTCGGCACCCAATATCCTTTGTAAGTTCTTTTCTGCCTGGGATGACCAGGAATGGATCCGTTTTTGGATAGATTGTCAGATCCAACACAGAGAATGACATGTGGTGATTCACACCTCATCTGGCATCTACCCTAGACTCTTGAGAACTATTTGGGAGGGGCTGTTTTCAGTCTTCTTCTTTCACGCATAATATCCGGATTGAGTTGCCTTTCAGTCCTCAAGAATTCATCTCTCTCTCAGGAATCTGTCTTTTCATTACATTCCAACACATAGATTCAAATCTATCATCTATCGACCAATGTCTGTCTATCATATATCTATCATCTATATCTATCATTTATCTATCTATCTATCTATCTATCTATCTATCTATCTATCTATCTATCTATCATCTATCTATCTATCTATCTATCTATCTATCTATCTATCATCTATCTCTATCTATCATTTATCTATCATCCAACTTTATGTAGCTACCAATTTCATATACAGTGTATAACTTTGGGCAGCTTATTAAAAACAGGAAAAAAGGCCACCACTACCACCACCGTTTAAACCATTTAAAAACAAGAACAATATTTTATAAGCAATTTTTTAAAAATCATAAAATACATAAAACTCAAGTAATCCCATTCCAATCTAATCTCAGAATTTTTGCTGACGCTGTTTGAGTTTCTAAGTGGATCCATGTTTAGTCCCATTGGAATGGATAGATTTCTGGGCTTCTAAAGCTATGAAGAAAAAAAACCCCTTAGAAGATTTAAGGTGTTGCAGTAATCTTCAAGCTCAGCTACTTCACCCAGCTGTCTGTGACAGTGGGTGAGGGGTATGAAAAAAAAAAACACGTGTTGCTCTGAGCTTCCCAGAAGTGGTTAACAAAAATAAATAAATCTATATTTGCTTTGCTTTTATTCCAGCCCACACAAATCACAAAATAGAACTGATTCCTCCTCTGTTCTCTAACGTGAGAGACCTCTTCGAAAGATTGGTACGTCTGAAGCTACCTGCTCTCCCGTCACTATGACACATTGCCCTTAATATGTATGATTGCCTTCCTGCATCAGAATTAAAATAATTATGAAAATAAGGTTCAGCTTCTTGAAACGTAAATCTATCGCTTGGGAGGGCTTCTTGCTGCAAAATAGCAGTGTGTCATGTCTACCGATGAATGTGAGGTTAAGGTTTACAGTTAAGGCTAGAGGCAGTTTAAGTAGGCCCACATATATAGATTATTTTGCTTTGCAGTTTCAACTGCTGAATAAAACCCAGGCTTTTAAAAAATGTAATGCTTTAGTATGCTGTGTGAAGCCAGGGAGAGGGACTTACTCAAGAAACCATGCTATAAATTGATCCAAGTATGATGGTGACAGTTATGGACAGGTGGTGGGATTCAAAAAAATTTACTACCGGTTCTGTGGGCGTGGTTTGGTGGGTGTGGCAGGGGAAGGATACTGTAAAATCTCCAGTCAGAGGTGGGATTTATTTATTTATTTATTTTATTTATTTATTTGATTTGCCAATTGTTTACAAGATAATAAGTATAAGTGTATACATAGTTGTGAATACATGAAATGGGTACATATAAGAAAAATAAAAGAATAAGAGAAACAATAGGACAGGGACGGTAGGCACGTTGGTGCGCTTATGCACGCCCCCTATTTGCCGGTTCTCCGAACTACTCAAAATTTCCGCTACCGGTTCTCCAGAAGTGGTCAGAACCGGCTAAATACCACCTCTGTTATGGACTGGACGCAATTCACTCTAACGCTTTTCATTGTTAAGGTACCATGTGTGTGGGGTCTTGATTGCGCTTAGGAAGAATAACATGTAAATTACTAACTGCTGTGCAGTTGCACAGACACTTCTAGAAGAAAACATAGAATTTAGGGCAAGGGTCTTCAAACTTGGCAAGTTTAAGACTTGTGGACTTCAACTCCCAGAATTCCTGAGCTAACATGACTGGAGGAGGAATTCTGGGAGTTGAAACCCACAAGTCCTAAAGCTGTCAAGTTTGAAGACCCCTGGTCTAGGGGAATACCTGCAGGGAGAGAAGCTCTCTGCAATCTACACAAACATTTTGCAAAAGATGGATTGAATAATTTAGCTCTGCTGCTCTCTGTGTCTCAGGGCCCACCTGCGGTCTTTTCAGCCAAGCAGAGGTGGTCACCCCCTCGCTTCATTCGCTTCTACTGTGAAGATGGCCAGTTGGGGTTCACTCTCAAAGGTGGCCCGCCGGTACAGGTTGACTGCATCGACCCAGCTTCTCCTGCAGCAGTAAGTGGACCTTTTAGATCCAGGGGTTCCTCTTTGTAGAGTTGTTCAGAGTGGATAGGGTTAATTTCCACAAGAAAAGAATGCATTGGAATCCATCAGAAACGTAACCCCCTTTCTTTGATGGGCTTTTATTTTGCTATTTGACATGTCCCCCCTGTTACCGAATGACTTTGAAAAGTAGAGTTTATTTTAAGCTGTAATCCAAAAGAAATCTGGGATTCTTCTTAACACTTTGGATTGGTCCAATTTAAACATTGCCTAATGCACCTTACTTGTAGACAATGAAAGTAATAATCCATCTTTTTCCTTTGTTAACTTCTTCAAGACTGAGTTTATACATCGCAGTAAACCATAGATTGCTTAACCTCGGAGTAGCAAATAAATCCCAATTGGCTAGATCCACTTAGTATGCTAAGCCAAATCTAAGGGAAGAAAATTTAGGATTTAACAGCACAATGAGGAAGCCCACCACCAAGATTATTTATTAATAAAATCACAATCTGTTGATTCAGAATTCAGTCCCACTAGGCATCGTGGAGTTTATTGCCACATGATTGGTTGAGTGATTGGGCTTAATACCCCATTGAAATCAACAGATCCTATGTGATTAGAGATAGGCGTGTAGCTTAAAACCTTTATTATTTTAATCTGGCTTCCATGGTGAAGTTGGACAATTAAAGTTGGTAAGGAAAGTCTACCAGATTCTGCCTGGCTTTATAGCGGATGTTTTGTTTAGTTGGCAGGTTTGAAAGAAGGAGACACTGTGATTGCTGTTGAAGACACGGATTGCAAATGGTTGGGGATGAGTGACGTCTTGGAAAAACTCCAGAATTTGAGCGAACAGGAGATTGAGATCCAAGTGATCAGCTGTCAAGATAATGCACCTTCCTTGGTAAGTAAAGCTGGGAGCAGAATTTCACTACAAGACCATCAGAATTGCAAGATATTTATTATGTTTAAGCAATAATCTGGACCCATATGATGCATCTTTATTGTTTAATTGTTCCTGGTTTTTTTTAAAGTGTCAGCCATCTAGGCTTGTTTGGAGTTGGATGGCCTCTGAATTTGTATTAAATGAAGATGAAAATGGAACTGTGTTCTAAGGAAAGGCAAGCTGAGATCCATTTCCCGTTGTTATTATAGTTCTCAACCCACCCATCCCCTTACCCCAATTGCCATAGCAAATAATTAAATGCTAATAGTGTGGGTTTCCATTTAAAAAAAGATTTAAATAAACTGGGAACTGGTAGGAAGAAAATGTCTATTCCTTCAGCATTTCAAATCTTTGCAACTTTTAATTGCTTTTTAAAAATAGCAAATAGCTTTTGCCTGCAATAGATACCTTTTTCTAGTCACCGGCATGGAATTTTCTAGAAAAAAATGACCCTATTGTTTTTGCAAAGATGAGATTGTTGCTCACTGCAACTCTGGGTTTTGGAAATTTTTCTTTGGGCAAAGGAACCTGTTCAGAAACAATATTACAAGGAGTCAAATCTCTGACCCAGATTTAATAATAAGCCAGGTTTTTTTGAAAGTCGACCTACATAAACTTGGAGGCTGGCCCAGAGAGAATTTAATGAATGCAGAAGAACAGCATCCTCCCATCACAGAATACAGGTAGTCCTTGACTTACAACAGTTCATTTAGTGACGTTCAAAATTACAACGGCACTGAAAAAAGTGACTTGTGACCACTCTTCACACTTACGACCATTGCAAGCCTCTTCATGATCACGTGAACAAAATTCAGGCAAAATCCTGTGGTCATGGGATCCCCTTTTGTGACCTTCTGACAAGCAAAAGCCAATGGGAAGCTGGGTTCACTTAACAACCCTGTCACTAAGTTAGCAACTGCAGTGATAGAGAGCAAAAATTTGATTGTAAATCGAGGATTCCTTGTGTAGTTCAAACATTGCTTTCCACTTTGCATTGACTAATTTTTATTTTTTTTTAATGCTCGTAACTCTCTCCCTCCTTCCCCTACAGCATAACAAATGTGCCACTTACTCAGCGGGGATGCAGAAAACATACTCCCTTATATGTCTGGCGATGGAAGATGAGAGGACCGACAAAGCCAAGAAGGTGACGCCTAAATTGTCCTTCTTGAGTTGGGGAACCAAAAATAGGCAGAAAGCTGCCAGCACCCTCTGCCTTCCTTCGGCTGTAAGTGGGACCTCTGCCATGAAGAAGAAACTGACAACCCCATTCACACTTTTCAACACCGATAGTTCATTGTACTAGGGCCTGGTGACCAAGGGCGGTCTCGCCCACAAAGGGTCTCGGAATGGATGTTGTGAGTTCACAATGTAGCCTTTAGGAACCCAGGGCTGAGTAGCCCCGACTTGAAGTCAACAACTACCCGTTCAAATCTGGCTTCAACTGTTCACTTTGCAAGGACCAGAAAGTTTTGGAAGAACGTGTCATATGTCTGTATGTTTGTGGAGTGCTTTCAAACTTCTGCCCGGATTCTGGCTTCGTTATGATCTATCTTGAGAAAGAACAGAATGGTTTCTGCAAAGACTGAGGATTTTTTATTTTTATTTTTGTTTTTTTTTAAATGTGAACATGTAGCACAATAATGCCACATGGTTGACCATCTCACCTACGTTGAGGGGAGAAGTAAATAGAACTGTTGGCCATAATGGTGCAGGATCAAGGAGATTTACTTGCTAATTAATTTAAAACTCGAATGAGAAACAAATTATAGGCCAGTTAGTAACATTCTGTGAGTTGACAGCCTACACAGCTGGACAGAACCAAATTCTTAAATTTTTGAATGGCCAGGTGATGGAAAGGAAACAGGGTGTAAATGAATAAATCTAACAGGGTGTGGTAGTGGCAAGGCTACATGTCAAGGTTTTCAAATCCTATTTTCTATTCTGCGTTGAGGTGGTTTAAACCAGGGGGTTTCCAAACACGGCAATTTTAAGACTTGTGGACTAGAGTTCCCAGAATTCTGACAACTGAAGTCCACAGGTCTTAAAGTTGCCACGTGTGGAGACCCCTGGTTTAAATAAACGGAACATTTTTTAAAAGATAAATAACATCACTTGGGGCTCAGGATAGGGAACAAGGTGGATGGCAGCCACTGAGAGAAAAGAATGCTGACATTCGTTCTATAACCCAGATTGAAGATTTGCACAAAAGATTTTCAAACAACAGCATTTTGGCCTATCGTTGAAGCCTTCCATAGAAATGGTGCGGTGGCCTAGAGGTGGAGATCTCACCTCACAATCAGGAGGCTGTGAGTTCAATTCTAGGTAGAGGCAGATATTTTTCTCTCTGGGCACAATGAGAATATATCTGGTAAACAAAACTCCGCATTGGTGACAGGAAGGGCATCTGGCCAGTAAACGCTCAGCTCCATTCAGTTGCCCAAGACTACACCCCGCAAGGGATTATGGGGTCATTAAAAGATGATGATTGATTAAAGCCTTCCACAGATGCAATGCAGGGTTATCTAGGGGAACCAGATTTTGCATTTTCTGGCATTCAACATCCATTGTCATGGCACCCGATGTGTGGTGGAAATAAATCTCCCAAGGACAACCTTGAAACCAACCGTGGCAACTTTTAAGTAACACAGAATGGATCCATTGAAAAACAGCTTCTTGTTTTGCAAGGTCTGATGTAACTGGGTATCGTTTTCTGCACCTGCCAAGCATTATAGCAAAGATGGAGGTTTCCTAATACAGAACGTGTAGAGAAATATGCTAATGTAAACAAGAGGGTAGAAGAGATCAGCCAGTTTGGTTGCACTTAGCACCTGCCAGGTTTCACTTCAGATCAGTATTTCTTAATATCAGCAACTTGAAGATATGTAGACTTCAACTCTCAGAATTCCCCTGCCAGCATGCAGATACATAGCTCAGTAATGCTATTTTGAGAAGGATATCAACGGTTTGTTTTTTTTGAGTGCCACTTGAAAGATGCATTCCAAAGGGTTGATAAAGTAATTTAACTATGCCTTGAGTGAAATTTAGGAGTTCAGTGCACTAAAGAACATGCCCAACTGGTAAAATAGTTGTTGCTTGGAGTTTTATTGTCACTCTCTAAAGGCTAATAAACAATAGTTGTCGATTAAGCTGAAATATTGCTAACGGTAGATCTTAATGATTGGCTAAAAATTTAAAGAACGGAAATCTAAATTCCTATTGAAATTCATTGAATCCATTACAAGAAGCTTGAGAATTTTTTAAAGAAGAAATTGGAATAGAACAGTGTTTCCAACCTTGCCAACTTTAAGATATGTGGACTTCAACTCCCAGAATTGTTGTCTAGGGAATTCTGGGAGTTGAAGTCCACATATCTTCCGTTATTTGAGATTGAGAAACACTGGAATATAAGAAGAAAAACGGGGAAGGCTGGTAGATCAATGCCATTTTATTATTATTTTGGTTTTTTTAATGTTTCTACCCAGTAGATGTAAATATATACATTTTAAACTATTTAAGAATGAGTCCTGACTTATATGTGACGATGAACAACTTTTCACTGCAACTATGAATGAGATAAAAAAAGTTTAATTTTTCTTAACTGTTGTTCTGAATGAAGGTCTGTTTTTTTAAAAGAAAGATATAGTGGCTGCTTATTCATATTGTGCAATATTCAATCAATACTGTGGAATTAATCCTAGTACATAATAAAATGTAGGTTGGAGGAAGGTTGACTTGTTCATTTATATCTCATCTGCGATATATATATATATTTATACACACACACACACACACACACACACACACACACACACATATATATAAATCCCCCGGCAACTAAGACTAACCTGAGCACAACCAAGCCCCCACCTGAACAGAACACACCGCCAGCCAATGAGAACACAGCCAACCCCCCAACCAATGAGAACACAGCCAAACCCCCAACCAATGAGAACACACCCCCACCCAATCAGAACACAGCCAAGCCCCCACCCAATCAAGTCACACACACCCCACTAGCAGTTAAAAGGAAGAAGCAGCTGCAAGCTCACATTACTCCGAGAAGCACAAAGCCAAAGACACAAGCCTGAAGATGAACGAGACTTCATCGAAACGTCGCCTAGATACTTCCAATTTTACGCGGGAGAAAACCCGAATAACCAAAGATATCTGTCTATCTATCTATCTATCTATCTATCTAGTTTTTTTAAGTTTTCACGGGTACTTACATGTATGGTATTCAGCTTTGTTCGGGTATTTTCCCACGTCATTATAGTTGTGCTTTTAAAGTTGTAGCAACGTTTCGGCAGAATCTCATCTGCCATCATCAGGCTTCTGTATTGTGATGGCAGATGAGATTCTGCCGAAACGTTGCTACAACTTTAAAAGCACAACTCTAATGACGTAGGAAAATACCCGAAC